CTTTCTCTTTCAGTCTCATTCTCTCTCTCTCCCCCCTCTCTTCTGGTTTTTTTTTTTTTTTTGTGCTCGCCCAGATATTTCGAGACAATTTTGGGAGAGTGCCCATTTGTAATACGACGCCGTGGGGGAAGGAGATCTTTGTCACCTCAGTGCCCATATTACTGTGGAGTGAAGGGGAAAAAAGAGAGCGGTGACACACTTTTTTTTTATTGTGATTGTGATTGTGATTGTGGTGGTGGTGGTGGGGGGGGGATAGGAGAGGGATGGGATGCACCGTCACATCAACGCTTACGTTTCCTTTCTGCTGCACGTACAAAATTGGGTCACTCCTCATTTTTTCCTGGATTTTTCGTTTCCTGCGTTATTGTGGTGCTTTTAGCTACGTCTTCTAGCCGTTTTTTTTTTGGCTGGGGTGGGGTGGGGGCCTCGTGCTCCGCCAACGTTCACCGGGAGAGGCGTTCGTCCAGTTAGACGCGCCATCCACGCATCGTCCCTCCCGTGCCGCGTGGGTGCGGGTGAGGTTTGGAAGGATGGACTTTGACCAGCCACGCGCAATAACGTCTTTGGATGAATACGAAGCGAGCGGTGCTGGAGTGCACACCACGATGGCCTGTGCATCTAGTGCCGCACGGATTATTCGCTTTCCTTGGGGTAGAACGCTTGTTTTCAGATAAACCTGTTTTGGACAGTCAGCGAGGAGCAGGAGATTGCTGCATAAGCACGAACAAAAAAAGGTGCTGTATATAAAATATTGCCTTGTCTCTGAACGGAGAACTGGCGTGTGCCACCTCTGTAGCCAGAACTACTAGTGTGACGTTGAACAGGGCTGCCCCACCTGTGTCCGAAACGGAGCTCTATTCAGCTGGGGGATCCAAACGGCGAATGGAAGAGGAGACTGACAGACATCTTCGAGACCACCATGAGGATGTTGTCACGTTTGAGGATGACTTCAGGAGCGAGGAGGAGAATGATGCGGGGCGGCCCTCTCGGAGAGTAACACGCTTCTTGATGTCAAGTTTTTCAAGCTGCGTGGTAATATGCCCCATGTTGACCGGACCTCTGCTTTTAGGGCCTTAAAGCACGTAGATGCAACTGCCCAGCATTCTCCAATGGGTGTGCTGCTTTGCACTGATGTGGCTGCCAGAGGATTGAATGTGCCGCGGGTGGACTGAATTGTACACTACGATCCCCCGACGGATCCAGCATGTTATGCTCAACGTATTGGGCGCACCGCTTGAATTGGCAACGTTGGAGACTCTCTGCTGTTTCTCATGCCACATGAGGCAGGATACGTCCCATACTTGAGCAACTTAAACGACTCATATTTTCGTTCTGCCATTGCTGGCAGCGACGCGTTATTTGCAGCAAGAGAACCCCCGCCCTCTTTGGTGATATTGTATTATCTGACAAAGCTCGACCCCAAGTCGAACCACACGTGGGTGCGAAGTATGGCGATCCTCGAACGTGCCATCAGTTGAGCTGTCATTGAAGCGAGATGGAACCGTAAGCGATTTATCAGCTAGGGATGAGAGCCGGAGAGAAGATCTCATGTGCCTAGTGTTGTTTGCGTACCAGTCCTACATCCGGGCGTACATGGGGAACTCCAGAGAACTCAAAGCCTATCTTTTTTTTTAAATATCAGATGTCCTCAACCTTGGCCATGCTGCACAGAGCTTTGGCATTGACAAGAAGCCCAGTGAGGTCCGGGCGCAACTTTAGAGCTTTGTCAGGGAAGGCAGGAAGATCGCGAGAGAGTCGTCTTCCCTCACCACGCAAGAGGAGGGAAAGTGGAGCGATGACTTTCCAAGTTGGAGAAGACTGCAGGTGGAGGTACGTCATGACGATCGCTACCGAAGTATGGTTGCGCAGGAGCAGCGCAATGTGAAAGCCCAGTGCTGTTGAAAGGTGGAATCAAAAACTTAACTGTTCCCGAGTGAAGGGAGAAGCTGCGCGCCAAAAGACACAAGGGCTCCGGACGCATCCACACTGTTTAATTACGTTTTACTAGATCCACTGCGGAGTCTGCTTTGGCGATTT